CAGAAGATGCTCTCCCCTCCTCTTGCCTTTTTTTTTTTTTTTTTTTTGATAAACATTGTCTCCTCTCAACAGCTGAGTGTTTAATTAGTGTTGATTGCCGTTCGCGTGTTCAATAACTGCTCATCAGGCAGGGGTGTCCGCTGATGCAGCGTGGCCTGGAGCGCGGAGGAGCGGAGGGTGCTGCTAATTAGGGATGCCATTTATTTGGGTAAGTCATGTGGACAGCAGCCCAGCTTTTAGGTTAAGTTTCAAGGTTAAAGGGGAACGTTCAAAAAAAACCCAAAAAACAACAAAACAAACAAACAAAACCCCTCATTTATGAGGATGGGGAGCTCTGCTGGCACTGCCACTGCCAGCTGGGCCCCTGCTGGCACCCACCTGGCCCTCGCGAGGTGCTATCCCTGCACATATCCACACACACACACGTATTTAATGCACGTGAGCCTGGGCACGTGTGTGGCTGCATCTGTGCTCCCAGCAGAACCCAGCCCTTCAGGCATTCCCCTCCTGCCCGTTTCCCTAAGCTTTGCCCCCAAAACGTGCTGCTGTGTGGGGCCGCAGTGCCCGGCTGTGGGCAGGTTCCTCAGAGAGCAGGTTTCAAGGAAAGAAGCAGCTTTGCTGCTGCTCGCTCTCAGGCCACCCAGCTGTGTGGGAACGCTGCAGTTTACAATCGATGTGGGTCTTTTTGGATGTGAGGACAGAGGGCAGGAGGCAGCTGCTCAGGCTCTTCCTTTGCCCGGAGGCGCTGGGACTGGGAGCATGTGGCCGTGGCATGGCCAGCTCTCCAGCACCGCCTGCCAAACATGAGGCAAAGCTCTCCTGTTTAGATGAGGAGAAATAAAACCTTGAACAAGCACAACCATGTTTATAAAGGCACAGAGTGAGCCCATCGGGAGATGGGGGAAGAGTTGACATGAGTGGGTTCATTTCTCTTTCCAGGGATGTGCACCTGCACCGGGCTTGCCCTGATGGCCAGAGCAGCACCAAAACACGTGGGGACAGCACAGGAGCATCCCCTGCTATGGGGACATGGTCTGGGGACATGGCCAGAGCTGTGAGTGGCAGGGCTCACACTGGGTGCCCCCAGCCATGCCCGGCGCATCCCGCTTTGCTGCACGTCCCCTCCCGCTGCGGGCAGGACGGGGGGGCAGCAGCTCAAACAGCAAACGAGCAAATGCCCGTCTCCTCCCGGCACGCTTCCCCGTTATTTATTTATATGTTTATTTGCTGTGCTGCCTGACAGCGGTGATGGAGCTGTCATGCTTTGGTGGCCACCGGCTCGTGATCCAGCACCTGTTCTCCGTGCTTTAATCTCTCCTCGCCGCTCACACAGAGTCTATACATAACCCCCAGCCAAACAAAACGTGAAGAAAAATCAAATCTAATTACATGCCATTGATTTCCCTCCAAATTTGCTTCTAATACACTTTTTGACTACTCCTTGATTATTTTTTTTTTATTTTTTTTCCCCCACTTTTCTCTTCTCCTCTCCTACCCCTCCTCTCATTTGGCAGCAGCCTCTTCCCGTGGCAGCGAGAGGCTGCAGCCTCGCTGGACATGCTGAGCCTGGAGCAGCTAGGAGATATATGGACAGACATGGGTTTTTTTGCTATGACTATAGCAAAATAGGGAATAGGGATGCTCTGTGCGATGCACCTCACCTTAAGGGACAGGTAGGACCTTGCAGCTTTCTTGATGGCTTTTCCCCTTCCCCTCCTCTTTCTTCTCGCTAAACCCGACTTTGCTCGGCGTGCTGGGACCGCTGTGGCAGAGCTGCTCCTATAAGCAGGGCAGCATTGGGGTGAGCCAGGCTGGGGGGTTGGGGGGGCTTTTTCCCAATGCCAGGCTTTGCTGTGGCCATGTGCTGAAGCAGGGCAGGCATCCGTGTGTCCGCTTCTCCTGCAGCTGGGTCTATCCCTCACAGGTGGGGTGGGGAAACGGGAACGTGGGGACTGCCGGCAGCCTCTGCTGCATTTCCCTGTGTCCTCTGCAGGCAGGGCACTGGTGCGTGTCCCCCCTCGGTTCCCCGTGTCCCCCTGGAGCTGGCAGCGCGGGTGCAGGTGGGGAGGAGACCCCCAGGCCACGTCCTGATGGTGGCTGTCACCACCACCTATGCGTGGCCCCGGTGTCACCGGCGCGAGGGGGACGCCCGCCAGCGGCAGGAGCCCCGGCAGTGCAGACTTCCAAGGGAGCGGCCAGATTTATCGTGTAAGGAGAAATACTTAGGCTGAAGACAGTTCAGTTGTGTTAATTATGGAAATCTAAAGATAATCTATATTTAATGTCAAATTTTTCTCAAATCTACTAAAGAATGAGGAGAATATATGCACATGATGACATTTAAATGAAGAACAAGGTGCAATTAAACTCCAAAATGTACAGTAGACTAATTGGGAGAGGATGACAAATATAGTTATCATCAGCAACTAATTAGGGACCTGCTTTAGCTTTCCCTGCTTGATTAATCTTGACTAGGTGTTAATAAGTTACGCGGGACCGGCCGTAACTTGCGGTGAGGCTGTTTGTGGCTCCGTCTGGCGTGGCACCAAGGTGGTTTATGGCCGGGCGACGCACAAGCTGGCGTGAGGATGCTTGGTGCTGGGGGTACGATCATGTTAAGGGCTTCTGATTTATGGGGTGACGTGGTTTGGGGTGGGCACCCCCATTTCATGGGGCTTTGGGTGGTGTGGGGCAGCACTGGCGCTGAGGATGCCTCGATTACTTCCATCCAAGTGGTGCCAATACGTTTTTCGCGTGGTTTTGACATCTGATCAGCAGTGCAGGCATTTCAGAGGCCTGATTTATGGGGAGGGTTTTGCTCTGTGGGTGTGGGTGTGCCTTAGGGCTTTCCCTGGTTCCCAGGAGGTTTTGGGGCTGCTCCTGGTGTGGTTGGCATCAGCGCCGCGCCGCCCACCTGCGGCACCGCGCCGGTGCTGCTGACACCGCTGAGATTTACACGCTTATCTTTGTGCGTTGAAAGGTAAGAATAATAGTAAAATGTTAATGCCGCGCTCTGCATATAACACTGTACATAAAGGACTGACATGACGTGGGAGACAGATAAATCACCACCGTGTTCAGACGATAATCCGCAGGAGGCAGAGCAACGCACGGGCTCTCCCAGCGCGGGGAGGCGCGTGGGGAAACATCTGCACAGCCCAGGCTGGCTCCGAGGTTTGCTGGAGCACTTCTCAGAGCTAGTTTTTATGGAATTGGGTCTATATGTTCGCCGTTCCCTGCTCATAGCAGGTGCTGGGTGCTCGCAGGTGGGCTCACTGCGGCGTGCCACAGCCCTCCTGGGTGACACTGGGCCAGGACAGCCAAAAAACTGCACCAAGAGCCAGGAGAGGCCCTGGGAAGATGCGGCAAGTGGGTTCCTTGTGCCAGGCCTGGCCAGGGTGCTGGGGTCCTGAGGAACAACCCCAAGTGGCTCAGCACAGTTTGGCACAGCTCGGCACGGCTCAGTTTGGCACGGCACGAATTGGGAGCAAAGCCATCACCGTGCCGAGGACGAACTTGGCTCAGTCACCATGGAAACGGTGGCCGGGCCCCGGTGCTGCTCGCATGTGCACAAGTCCCGTTGACCTCACTTAGAATTATTACCTTTAGCCAAATAAAATAATTTGCGTTAATAAAGAGACCATTTTCTCTCGGCTTCCAAGCGAGCCTTCCCCAGAAGGCAGAGTGACTCCTTAATTACACTTTTACTGCAAGGTGATTAATGTTCAATATGTGATACTCCATTTAAATAAGTCGCTTATTAACACCTTTAATATGTTTTAATTTTTTTTTCTCCTCTTTTTCCTCCTTTCCCCTCCCTGTGGCATGAGGTGGAGCTCTGAGACTGGGCACAGGCACCCACGGGCTGAGCCGGGGACCCTGTGGCCCTCCAGAACCACAAAATGTCCAAAACAGGGAGAAAACCCAATGTGCCAGGGGCCAAAACCAGTGAAATTAAATGGGGAGTGTGCCAGGAACCCCGCTTTGCTTCCCCTGCTGTGGGAGGCTGTGGGCAAGGGGCCAACAAATGCCCCCAGAAAAGCCTCTTGCTTTGCAAAGGCACCTGGTGCCCATTCTCCACTGCATTTAATCTGTGCTGTTGGGCTGAAAAAGGACGTTTGGTGCTGATACTTCAGTGCTGGTATTAGTAAAAATGACCCCAAATGTCGCTTTGTGTGTAATTTTGGGGACTTCATTTTTCACCCATACTCATTGCTTGGTTGGTGCTCGGCTGGCGCTCAAAAAAAGGAACAGAAAGGAGCTGTGGTTACTGCCTGAAATGGATGGTTTCTCATGATTGCAGATGAAGTTGAAAAGTCAAAGAGTCATTTTATTTTCTCTCAGATCTTTTTAGAAGTGCTTTTGTTTGTGCAGCCACATATGTCTATAAATATGTTATTATTTGTCACACAAAAGACTGTATTAGTGGTAATAGCCTTTTGGGGATTGTTTTGCTTTTCCCACGTGCGATTCTCCCAAGGCACACCATAAGGAATCTCAGTGAGGCTGGCAAAGCCCCTGCTCGCCCATGGCCTTGGCTGGCACCTGGTGCTCCAGGTGGAAAAACCTCACTTGAAAAAGTACAAAAATACAGATCTGGCCTCGTTGTGGGGTGTATTTATTTTTTCTTGGGCTGTACCTCACAGCCATGTGCTGTGTGTTGGTGGGTTATCCCAGAGCGAGACATTCACATCACCTCCCTGGGGTTCCTGAACTTCTCTGTTTGTCCCCACAGGGAGGGAAGGGATGTCCCAGCCCCAAATTCATCAGTTCTGGGCCAACTCTCCAAAAGCGCAGCTCTGCTTGTTGGGGTTTGGCTGCTGCACCCCCCTGGAAACAAGCTCAGTCGTTCCTCCTATTTGGGGAAATGTTCAAGGGAACCTGCTAAAGAGCTGCCCTGCCTGCTGCTGAGGGGCTTTTGCTGAGAAACACTGCAGAGTTAGATCCAACCACCCAGAAACCGATGATTTATAATTGAATTTTCCCCTTAATTTGTCAGTGAGAGCTTCAGAGGCAGCTCAGGTGCTCCCAGTTATAAATTCGGCAGAGTTCAACCTGGGGAGCCCCAGCTCCCTCCTGATGGCATTGCAGGTAAGGATGGCAGCAGTTTGTAAATGCCTGAAATGCAGATTCACTCCTTAATTTGCTTTGTTTTCTGCCCTTTTGAAGGGAATTGGGTGTTTGCTGCTGTACGGCAGGAGCTGGGTCTGGTCCCCTTGTGGCTGATTTTGTTTTATTGCTTTTTCTTTTCTGGCAAAGGGGTGCTTGCCAGGGACCCGGCCATACCTCTGATCCCAGCTCCTGCTGCTCTCCTCTCTTTGCCCTGAATTGTTTTGCTTTACTAAAAACGTGCAAAGGTTTGGGAGGAAATAAACTGAAAAACAGCTGTTGTCATTTCTTAAAATCACCAATAGCCCCTGTGGTTAAGGCAATAGGGGACCCTGAGAATAAAGTCTTATTAAATGATGGGAGCAATTCTTTTAATAGAAAATGCCCTTGTAAAGCCCTGTGAGAGTGGTAACGCTTGTGGTTTGTGCTCTGTTTCTCTCGGGTAGGGGCAGTTCTTGGCTTGGTTTTAGTTTCTCCTCTCCTCTGAGCAGTTTAGCAAATGGTGTAACTTTGCTTACGCTCGGGCTGTCGAAAATATTTAAGCTCTGTTGAAGGAGTAGCTGCTTTGCAGGTATAAATTATGAGAGCTCCACTAATTCCAGTGTTAAATTAGACATTTTCTCAACTGTTTGTCCTATTACCCACCTCGCAGACAGAAAGGCATCGCACGCTCCCCCAGCCCCCTCCCCCTGCATTTCACCGCCAGATATTTGCGAGTTCATTAGTTCACAGGGGTGAGCAATACATCATCAAGCGTTTCTTAATAGTCATCCATTTCAGGACTAATTCTCATCTAAAATGAGCTTTCATTGCATTAAATAAAACTTCAGGTAATTCAGAGAATAATATTTCTCTAATGCTCAAGACCCAGTGAAAGTCTCCAGCCAAGTCAATTCTGTCTAATCGCCGGGAAGCTGTAGATAAGCAGTAGCAGCGAACGCGTCCCCTCCTTCCTTTTTTATTTTTCCTTTATTTTTATTTATTTGAGCTGTGTATCTCGAGCTGTGCTGGCTGGCTGCTTGCTGTGTGATTCCTTCCCAGCCCCGAGGTGCTCTCTCCAGCCGGGCTGCGAAGCCCCCAGCTGGGCACCCCATGGGTGGGTGCTGGCACCTTCACCCTTAGCAGTGCCCAGCAGAGGCTTGTTGCCTAAAAAGGGTGTAATTAACATGTGTTATCCTTATTGATTTCCCTGATCTGTCTCGGACAGCCCTCTCCAAGCAGCCAGTGGTCAGTGATCGCGTCCTCGCACTGCAGCATTAATTACGAGGGGAGCTGCGGGTGGGCACCCATCCCGGGGAGCCCCTTCCTCCCAGCACTGTGCGAGCAGCAGGCTTCTCGAAGGGGCTCTCCCACCACACCACAATCCTTGGTAAATACATTTTTTCTAACGACTGCTGGATCGTAATGAGATTCTTCAGGTCGTTTCTGCTGTTGGAGCACTCCTGCCCGGCCCACCTCCCTGCTCTGAGTGCTCCGTCACACTCATAATTTGGAGGTGTGGTGTTTGCCCCCCTCTATATTTTTCTCTCCCTAATGCTGTAGCCAAAACTGAAATGAGAATTCAGCAAAAATAGCACACAAGACAAATACGTAGAGGTGTGTACCTCTGACTTATAGCCCAGCGCGAGCTTTTATGGTGGTTGCTTATTCTCAGGAAATTGATGAAGCTTAAAGCAGAAGCTAAACTTTTAGCCAATATATAGGTGGAATAATATTAAATCCCCGTATTAAAGATCTCCATTAACCTGTTTGTTTTTTACTGGGCTAACAGTAAACACAATGGGCTGTGAACAGCGTATTTAATTATTTCAATGAATATTCATAACGTACAGGACCTTGGGAGCAAATAAAGACAGGAGAATTTTTCACAGTGATTGGGAGCTTGATATGAAAAAGCCAGCCTTAAATTCAGAGTGAGTAAAAGGAAATATGCTTGCTCTGAAAACCTCTAGTTCTGCAGTTGCTCTGTGTATGTCTAAGAGAGAAATGCACCTCTTAGTAAGCGATTTGCTGGTGAGTCTCTAGTTGTAGGTGGACACTGGTCTGTCTGGGTAACTTGGGTCTTAAATAGTTGAAGCCTTTGGAGCTGGGTTCTGTGGCACCACGATGTGCATGGGCAGTGAGGTGCCAAGAGCCCCTCTGCTTCCCCAGGCACCAGCCCTTTTTTTTTTTTTTTTCTTTTTCTACATTTTCATGTAGTGCAATTACTCCAAAGGAATTATATAAAGTGCAATAATTCCTGCACATGCCAAATGCTGAGGGTGCTGGTGAAATTGGGTGTTGCACAGGGACTACACAGAAACCTGCACAGCTCCTTGCGGAGAGGCCGTGAGAGGTGCCAAGGCAGGGAACGAAGCCCTCTGTCCTACACCACGTGTAAGGGCACGTGTACATTTACCTGGTACAGGGAGATGGATGTTACCCAGCTCTTGGTACAGAAAATAGGACTGGATGCCATAAAGGGAAGTGTGACTTGTGAATTAAGAGACTTGGTAACTTGTAGGATGATGGCTTAAAATGACTTTATTTTATGGCTAGTTTCTGCCATCTGAGTGATGTTGCATGTATTGGTTGTATTTATAACTTAATAGCTTTTCTCAATTTTATTATACTTTTTATGATACTTGTGGCTTTATGGTACTTCATAATTTTTCTGGGATTCATTAAAGCGGCTGCGGGCGGAGCTCCTGGTGGTGCTGGGGGCAGGCAGCCCCGCTCTGGGTGCATGGCAAGGCCTCGGTCCTGGCGTGCTTTGGTGCTGGCCGGTGCCAGCAACAGAGAAAAGACATCTATTTAGGTTTAATATTACACCAACAAAGCTGTTCTGGGCCCTTAGTGTATCCGGAGCATGGTCTCCTGCCCAGCAAGGTGTGCTGGCAGTTGGATGGCATTTCTCACCCTCTTGGGTACTCCCTAACCCCTTATGTCCATGGTAGGGTTAGGGAGATTTCTTTTTTTTTTTATTATTATTTTTTTTTCTGAGCTGGTTAAAGCAGCTGTTCCTTCCCAGAGTTGCGGATGTCTTGTAATTGAAGCAAAGGTGCATTTTGGCAGTGAGGATTTGGTGTCCACAGAATTGTGCTGGGTTTTCCTCAGCTGTAGCCCATGCTCCCACAGGGCAGCCTGGAAGATTTGCTGAATATTTGCAGTTCTTCCAAAGTGTGTTTTTTCAAAAATTGTAGTCTCTAGGACAAAAATAGCAGCATGTTTCATTCTTTATTTTTCCCTGATTTTTTTTAAAGGCAACCAGCATGAGACATCAACATTTTTAAACAAAAATGCTGCTTGTGTTGTCATTGAAATAGGGGACGCCCCTGAGGGCAAGTGCCACAAATTCCCAGTGCCTGGGCTGTGATCATGCCTGGAACGGCCCTCGAGGAGGGGAAGATGCTTCTGGAGGCAAATCGGGTCACTTACATATTCCCTGTGGAGCGGGAAGTGCTGGGATTATTATTATTTTTTGCATAGTTTAAGATAATTCATTGCCAAATCCCACTTTGGGGAAAACGGGGGACGATGGAGTTGGCTTCCCAAAAAAGGCTGGTGCGATGTGCAGCCCCTGTCCCCAGCTGGGGGCCCGGTGGCATCCGACCCTCACCCTATTTACGATCCAGGCTGATAACGCGCTCCCCAACTCCAGCCTTCATTACAGGCTGCTGGTCTGCGGGACCGCAATGCATTTATAATTTTTATTGTTATATCTTTTAATTTTATTTTGCTTTCCTTGCTGTCTTGGAGAAGGGAAGATAGGAGTCCATATTTATTACAGAGCAAACGATCTACCTCTGCGAATGTATGTATCAGTTAATTTAATCTCACCAGTTTTATTTAAACTGTTTTTCCTTCCTTTCTTTACTTCCCTCCTCCCGGCTCTCCCCCTTCTTCCTCCTCCTCTTGGCGCAAGGTGATCAGTTTGTTTAAAAAAAAAAAAAAAAAAGGCTGGAAAGTAAAACTATCCTGTGCCTTTTATAATCTGTACTGAAAAGGCTTTTTCTGGTTGCTACGGAATAGCTCTGCCTTTCACTGCTTCCGCCCGTGTGCCTCCCGTGGCCCCCAGCCTGATTGACATTTACAAATTACCAAGCTGAGAGTGTTCAATCTTTGACCCGTGTGTTTCTATTCAGCAATGAGTGAGATTTGCAAGCATTTTGTCATATAATTACTGCAAATCCCTTGAAAATTTCCACAACAACGCCTAGATGAATGGTAATTTGTGCAGACAGCCGCTGATGCCTTTACAATGCACTAAGATGCAAAACAGTCTATTTTTTTTTTTTTTTTTTTTACCCTAAGATTTCTGGGGGGAAAAATGTTCTGCATGTGAGCATGCTGTAAAATATTTGGATTGTTAGATTTATTTGCTTACACAGCCTATATTTGTGCTGATTTTATTGTATTGACTGTATGCATTTTTTTCCTCCCATTCTACAGTTTTATTGTGCGTTGGTCATATGCATACATCACCAGCATTGTTCTCCGGGAAATTTATTCCACCTTTCAGCGTGCTCTTGATAGGACTTATTGCATTACTAGTTAAGTGCTGAGATTTGCTACTACAAAGATCTGAAACAGCCCCCTGTAATGTTTATTCGCCAGCCGTGGCTGAGATCATATGTTTTCGTAACACTTGGCGTGGAGCGCAGCCGCTGGGCTCGGCTGCTGCACCCTGGGATGGGCTTGGTGCTCCTCTGGCATCGAGGACCCAGAAGGAGGCAGGTGTCAACACCTGTTGAAATCCTAAAGCATATTACTTTGTTGTTATATGTATTTATTCACCCCTATATCGTGATGGGTGTGCATCCATGCGTTGGGTAAGCACGCCCAAGCACCCACACGGTGTTGCCAGCTGTGAGCACTGCCCAGAGCTGCTGCCTTCCCCTCCAGCAGCTGCAGGTCAGTGGGACCTGTGGGGTGGTGCTGTGGGGGTGATTTGGGACACCCAGCAGTGTCTGTCCCGCTGTGGGGTGTGTGGGAGGCTGGGT